GCCACCACTGCCATCGCCACCACCACAGCAACATGCAGCCAGCGTCACCTCCTCCTCCTCCTCCACCACAGTCCCAATGCCAGTATCCTCCCAGAAGAGAAAGCGCGATGAGGAGAAAGATTCGTCAGCTTCCAAGTCCAAGAAAAAGAAAATGATTTCTACTACCTCAAAGGAAACAAAGAAGGACACAAAGCTTTACTGCATCTGTAAAACGCCTTATGATGAGTCTAAGTGAGTAGTGAATGCCATCGCCTTTTACTCTGTATTCTTAGCTTTAGGTTTAGTATTTAGCTGTTAGTGCAAGGTAGTTCTAGAATTGGAGATAGAGTATCAGGTGTTATTGCAGTGATCACTAAGGTATAAAGAATAAAGTCTCTGTTTTCCACTAGCAGTTACAAAACTATTAACATACTTGATTTATACTATTAATGTACGTGATTTATATTTTTACTTGTTTGCATGTTTCCATTGTATGACCTTTCTGTCTCACATGCACATACTCTTTTTTTCTTTTCTTCCTCCGCTCTGTTGTTCTTTCTTTTGCCGTTTTGCCTCTGCCTCGGAAGCAAGTGATGATTTGGTTTGAGCAATGTCTTGTGAACAAGTAGCCGATGTTCTTTAGAAATAGCTTTGGTACCGTCTTCCAATAAATGACTTTTTTTTTTGTAAGTCAGTAGCCAGTAAAGGGGGAAAGGGGGTTTCAAGTTACTGGACTGCAGTTCACTTTGGACAATGTTTCAGGTAGAAATGGTTTCCATGTGTTATAATTTACATCCCAGGGTTGATAAAAAATGGATATGTAAGCATTTGACAAAGTGAAAACTGCAGTTCTCTGTAGTTTGATTCTGACTGTGAATGAGGAAAAATATTTACGCTACGTACAAAGTTTGCGAAGAAATTTAGTAAGTGGTGGAGTGGAAGATTCAGTGGATTGCAGGGGGATAGTATCACACATTCCTGCTTCAGCTAGAAATGACTAACATGGGTAGTTAGTAATGGTGAACATCTGATAGCTGTGTAGAGCTGTATGTAAAATAAATGTGACTTCAGACCAACGCCAAGTGAGTATGTATCCGCTCAACAAGTGACAATACCAAAAAGTATTAATTGGTACCATTTGGTGGTGGTTTAAATGCTGGTAACAGAAAGAAACCATAGAGGTGGAGTAGTGCTTTCACTCCAGTAATGGTTCTTCATTCCAAATTTAGAGCCAGGACTAGAGGATCTCTTGAGGTTCCTCTTTTTTTTAAAATTTTTGGTTTTTAAATGAAGTTGAGGTCTTCGGGGGTTTTTTCACCTTGGTTGTTCAGTAGCTCCACGCACTGCACCATTGCACCAGTGTGGGAGATTGGACTGTTCTCTGTGCTGCCATCACTGTAGAAGTAGCAGACTGCTGATGCCCTGGTTAATTCACTATTACTTCTTAGGGATGTCACCTGTCTCACTTAAAGAAAGAACGTTGTGTTAGGCTTTCTGTCATCCAGTAAACTTAGGAGGATACCCTGTTCTCATTTTGCTGTGATACCAAAGAAAGGTCTGTGTGTTACTGCTTCTGTTGTTAGTAAGACAGAACTGTCACAAAAATGAGATGAGATGAACAAATTCTGTGAGCAGAAGGATTTGACTAACTCTTTCTGTTGACTCCAGTGGGCATTTGAGTAAGCCGATGAAAAATGTGGTCATAGAGTGAATTTTGGTAGTCTGAATCAAGAACTGTGCTTAAATGCACAGAATAAAACTTTGAGAAAATGAAACGTTAATAACTTCGTAGTATCCTTAGCAATATGATTCAGTTCTGCTGCTTTGCTTTTTGTGAATTCTAAATTTTATGTTCATACAAATGATGACTGTACTGTTGAACTACATTATCCTTTCACTATTTGGAAAGGGATTAGTCAAGTTTTAAAACAGTTTTCTGGTAAACATTTTTTTTATTTTTATTTTCATATATATAGGCATCAGATACTCCGTGCTGATGTCTCTTTTCTACTTCAGAAAAGATAGATGTGCTGCTTGAAAAGCTAATTTGTGATATATTATGAATACCCTATGCATTTTTTAGGAGGTAATAAATCCTCAAAAGTCATTGTGTTGTGTATTTTACTGCAAATCTTTTATGTTCTCTTTTGTGATAGTCCAGGGCTGTAGGGGTTTGCTCATACTATTTTCGAGGATGGTCAGTAAGGGTATCCTTCTAAGATTCCTACTTAGGTTGCAACTTATTTATTAAAGCGTAATGTGACGCCTGTTCCATATTTTAGTGGCAAGGTTTAGCATCTACACCTAGGTGTAAACGGGCTTCCAGATCACGAGGAGCAAACAGACTTGGAAAGAGGACACAGGCTGAATCGTTGGTAGTTGTTAGAAGGAGCTATCCATCCATCCATTCTTTATGGAAGGTTGGGTTGTGTGACTTTTTTTTTTTTGTTGTTTGGTTTTGGGGTTTTTTTAGCTTTGTCTGACTGAGAATTAAGAGAAAAGGCAGGTTCTGAGTATCTGGGACATATGCAGAGGCCCAAGAAATGAGAGATGCTTGTTTTGTGGAGTGTGTACTAGCTGCTGTCCCGTTGCTAGTGGGTGGTGTCCAGTGGGTGGTGCTTGCGACTGGCAAACCGGGATGGCAGTAATTGGTACAGCAGCGCACGGCAGCCCGGGGGTGGTCTCCAAAATGTAGGAAGATCGAGGTTCTGAGTCAGCTTGCTTTTGCTTGGGCAGAGAGAATGGATGTGTAACTTCGCCCGTCTGGTTGATTGTCACTAGTCATAGGTATGTTCTGAGATATCCATACACAAAATGTCCAACATCCTTGCATAATATTTTACAGTTTTGTCACATCATTCTGTGCAAGGTCCCATTCACATGATTCTGTACCTGGTTCCCTTCGCTTTGTGTCATACCATATCTGGTTCCGTCACATAGCTGTGTCTGAGAGTAGACATTATTCTCTGAAGAATAGTCCACATTCCAATTCGTTGCAATTTTGAGTAGTTTAATATCTGTTTTTCAGTGCCCCCCCCCCCACAACAAAAAAAAAAAAAAAACATAAAACACCAC